AGAACATTTCGAATTGATCGTCAATTTTTCAATTTAGGGTTTTCTTTTCCGACTGATTATGAAATTAGGGGTGAGGAGTGAGATTTTATACCACTAATTATCCCACGTGGATTGTTGTGTGGCATTTTTTTGTTTGTTATTCTTTATCTGCCACGTTCGTTTCTGTTTTCCAGGTAAGTTTCCGATGATGCCACGTAAGAAAGCAGGCGCAGGTTTCCGTCGAATATGCTTCGATTTGCCAAAGGCATAAAGCTCGTGTACTTAGTTGCAAACTTTGAAAGGTGGTGATTAAATTGCAAAAAATTGAAAGGTGGTGTATTTTGATGCAATTTTTTCTTTTTTATTTTATGTTTTTATTTAGTTTAATTATTATATATTAGTTTTGGAAGAATATTGTTGTATTAAAAAGTTATCTTATCTTATTAGGTATACTACTAAGAAAAGGGAAGGAAAAAAAAAAGGTAGAGAGTTTAGGGGAGATCTTGACAAAAAAGAAGGGGACTTGATTTTTTTTTCTTGAAGTTTTAGCGGGCAGAAGATAAGAAAAAGGAGGAGCAACATGGCAGTATTTTGGAGAGAGTAGCGTGTAGTTTTCTAGTCATTCATACCAGCAAAGTGTAGCAAGAAGGCGTGCGGTTTGATTAGAATATTTGAAGAAGACCAGCTTGATATATTTATTTTTCTTTGGGATGATATATGCGATGATATGATATGATATATTGCATTTTGTTATCGAACACTCACGGTTTATTTTTTGTATAATTCACTAGACGTGTCGGAGAATTTTTAGAATTGTTTGAGAAACATTATGATTGATTTGCTCTAGTGAATGTTTTGGCATGATGCCTTAATCTACAAGTGATTTTTACTTGTAGGCTAAATTTTGTTCATTCATGTATTTATTTTTGCTGTGTATTTTTTTTATCCCTGTGAAAATATGGAATTTTTGCCAGGTATCAGAGCAGGTCACTTAATTTAATGAGTGTGATTCTGTTTTTTAAGTAGGTATGGAGTTTACAGGGTTACCATTACACAAACTTTTTCCTAACCGACCAAATTCATCCAACGGTAAGATTAAATCTGATGAATTTGATGAATCCTAGTTGAATATGAACTTGAAACTACCTCAAGCACCGACTTATGATAGCTGTGGATGAACCGAGGCCAAGAAAAATCGATCTAGCAGGTGTCTGACGAGGTGTCGCCCGAAGTGTAATGACACCTAGCAGGTATAAAAATTTAAATTCTATTTTTTTTGCTTTAACAATATTTATCATGACTCTTCAGGCAAGGATATAGGTCCTCCAGATAGCATTCAATATTTCAACTTTGAAGATCATGAAAAGGTGCAAAAGGATCTTTATAAACATTGGATAGATTTTGTCTTCGATGCGAATAGGATCGATGAAAACAAAGAAGTTAAAGGTTGAGAACAAGAGAATAAGATCAAAAGCAAAAATGTTGGAAGAGGAGAACGATGCTTTAAAGTCTACCATAACCAAGTTAGAGGTGACCATATCTAGTCATGACCAAAAGCTGGTGAAGGTAAGAGAGGAACTTGAATACTCCCGTTATACTTTCAACGACTTAACACTGGTAAGAGATTATTGGATGTCCTAGCTGCTCTTGAACATAATCATAACAGAGCGGGACTTGATTTTAAGCCTACTATATTCGTGCATCCATCAGAGGAAATAGGTGAGTCTTTTTCAAAATGCACGACTAAGGTTTTTAAGAATACTAAACAATAAAGGCGTCGACATGTTTGCCATTATTGTCATGCACTCGGGTAAATTAGACCTTATCATTATAAATTGCACTCATTTGATAGGTCTTTTGAACTAGTGGTGCCTCCCGTGTCCCGTAATATGCCTATAAACTGCGGAACTCGAAATAAAATAAATCAAAGTTTGTTTGGGTTCCAAAATCTGATTTAAAATGCAATGTAATTCATGCATCATTGAAGTCTAACATTGCAGGATCATGGTACTTTGATAGTGGTGCTCGTGTCACATGACCGGCACTTGTGAGTTGTTGTCCAATGCAAAACCTTATGAAGGTAGGCATGTTACATACGTGAGAGGTGAACATGGAAAGATCATAGGACGGGGAACGCTCAACTTTGATGGCCTCCCAAAGCTTCAGAACGTGTTGTTGGTTGATGGATTTAAGGTCTAACTTGATTGGCATAAGTCAACTTTATGATGATAATCTTCTTGTTAAATTTGATCGTAATTGTAGCGCCCTGTTCGATTTATAGAATTTCTAGGATTATTCTATTTATCGACTTTTTATTTAATTGATATATGCCTTATTATTTGCATACTAATGATATTATTATTGGTACTTAAATTATATATTTAAGTACTTGTTTGTTTTTATATAATCATTCGTCGTCCGGCGATTTCAGTTTGATCGCGTAAACCGAATTTAACCCGTTTGAATTATAGATTTTTCGAATTATTTATTTTATCAGTATTTTGTTTTATTCACTTGTGTCTTAATTAATTGTCTATTATTATATTATTGATTGAATAATATAATTATAGATGCTCGTTCAATTTATTTTATTTATCGATCGCTATTCGGATTTTCGGTTTAATCTTGTAAGCTGAATTTTTATCCGTTTCGATTCGTTTTCGAACCATTGTGAACTAAGCCTCAAACCATGGAGTCCAGCCCTATTGGGTGGCCTTTTCGCCCCCTTTATGTCCAGCCGAACCCGGTCCAAGAGTGCTTGCGAACCGCCCCTTTTGCTTGGTGGACAAAAATTATTCCATTTTTCAAAAATCATCAAGGATATTAAGGTGAAACTAGTGAGGTACCCGTACAATGCACGGGCTAGTTTTATTATGGTAAGCATTTAGATTGGATGAATGAACAAACGTAAAATGCATATATTAGAATAAAACAAAATGTAACGTATATTAATAAACGCATTCTTATATACAATATTATTTGTTTTCCCTTTTGTTAAATCGTCTACTGCCACAATTTTTTTTCAAACACTTAAGATTCGTAGCGCGTGAAACATGCATAAAGCTGGCCGTGAAGGTTACATATATTAGGATGCTAGACAGGATTAAATAAATCAGTTAGATTATTTAGCCGGATATATCTTATATGATTTATACTTGTGTTATGAAGATTGCATAGCAAAATATAACGGATGTCGTAAAACGTCTTCTTTGATAATCTATAGTTAATTCAAATTTTATATTGCCAAAAAAAAAATAAAAATATATAAACAATATTTGTTTAATAGCAAGTTCATTTATATGAGAATATGTGATTGTACTTTTTCTAATTGAAAATTTTCATTCAGCCAGATTTTTCGAATAGAAAATGAGAAAGGATTTTGATTTTTAAAAAATCGTAAACACTACCGAAATCTACCAAAATTAAATCTACAATACCCATCATTTTAGGGTGCATTTAAGATTAATTGATTTTCGGGGTTAATAAATTAAAAAAAAACTACCGGCATGCAATAAATGTGGCCGATTTTATGGCAATCAATGTTAAGGGATTTAAAAATTAAAATTTTATATTCGAAATGAGACTTAATTGTTTTCAATTAAATTTTTTGAATAAAAAATAAGAACGGATTTTATTTTTATTTAAATGAGATTGGATTTTGATATCTGAAATTTTTCAAAAATACATCAACAAAACCCATCAATTTAGGGTGCATTTATGGATAACTGATTTTTTGGATTAAGATTAAAAGAAAATTAAAAAATTCCTCAAGTTGGAATGCGTTAAATGTTGGTTGATTTTTTATGTTAATATTTTTGTAAATAGGTTGTCTTTTTATAAATTTTTAGATTTGAAGATACTTACAATTTTTCTAAACTATTTTGGGAAAAAAAACATGTCTAAAAATATTTAAACTTAATGTATATATATATATGTGTGTGTGTGTGTGTGTGTGTGTGTGTGTGTGTGTGTGTGTGTGTGTGCGCATATGTATATATAGTTATAATATGACATGATAAAATATTATATAAAAGTATCTAAAATAAGCCTAAATAAAGACATTATAAATTTTTTGAGAGAAAATTTACTTAGTATATATAAAATAACTATTGACATTATCCCAAATTATGACGGTACTTCTCAAAATTTGAGTACATAATATTTCAAAATTATTATTCTTTTTATAAGTTTGTTACCGTTAAAAAAATAAATTGTACACATAATAATTCCACGCTTTATGCAGATTTATTAAATTTACAAATACAGCTCAGAGATTAATGTAAATTGTAACAAATATATATAACTAATATTCAGATAAAAATTGAAGACAATTTTTAATTCTACATTTCTTCTTATAACTTTTTATTGGATGTAGTTTGGGAGAGAAATATGTGATAAATATACTATAGACCTCTAAAATATTATATCGCATATATAAAAAGTATATACAATATTCTATATTATTCTTGAAAAATGTTTGAAGGTACTTGCTAAACTA